CGTTCGTTGTCCACAAAGGCCGAATTTCGCACTTATCGATCGTTTTGAATTATTCATTAGACTCAGGGTCAACCTTTTCGTTCACCTACAGTAGCCGTTAATTGCTCCACAAAATCCAGCCTATAAGCTCTAATGATAGGACACAACACTTTGAGCATCCATCAACCTCAACTCTGAATGGGAGCAGGATACATGGCGCATCCCGTTCCTATTCAAAATCGTGAAGTCATTTGAGGACATGTGTGATATGTACTGTAGCTTGGATAAGCCACTCCAAAAACAAGCCTTGTGGGCTCTATCATGGTATCTGTAGTTATGGAGATCCGGGATAATTTCGTACACCCGAAACGCGGCATCACACTCAAACCAGCACTCCTGTCTAGTTGACTCGATATAGGATGTTGGTGCCAAATCAACTAGGTTATCGTAAGAAACGTTTTCCACGTCCTCTTCAAGACCTCGAAAACAGTGGCAATCGATGAATCTTTTTCGGCGCTCCCGCCTTAAAAGATAGGGTGCGGGGAGGGGCATTTCGCTAGTTCTAATCTGCGTGAACTTTTGTGAAGCTTCGAAATTGTACAGCCAGGGCACGTCGTACGTGGGCTAGTTTCTGATGGGGATCGCATTTGGTCGTTGGAGCGAGGGATCGCAGTTTGCCTAAGTAACATTTTTGAAAGTTGATTTTTCCTCTTTCATGCGCGCTATCCACATTGTTGGAAGACTCCGTGGCCGGGGGGGGGGGCAGCCAAACTCTTATAAAACTACTTTTTTTCCTGGTGGTTGTGTTAAATACTTATTTGTTGGCGACCTCGATGGTAGATAGAATAGGGGTCCTACCAGAGGAAGAAATCTGGGAGGGAGAGTGGCCATGTTTTGCAAAAATTTTCACAGCAGCAGGACGTGTCCTCCACACAGGCCACCTTGTGAAGGTGTGGAAACTCGTTGAAGCTAGCCATACATAGTGAAGCTCATACCATTTCGCGGCTTCACAAGAGTTTAGCTTTCATCAATGTGAGAAAATTGAAGAAACTAGTGGTCCAACAAGATGCCCCTTCTGAGCTGAGCGCATGCTCAGGAAACAGACCACTCCACACATCCCGCGAACGGTTCGTGCCACCTAGACCAAACATCATCACTTCATGCGCAATTTTGAGTACGGTGTGCCAGGGCACATCGTTGTTGAGGAATCCCCAATAGGGGGGGGGGTCGCATTTGGCCGCCAGGAGGGAGAGGTCGTATTTGGGCTGGGAAGAATTTATTTTGATAGTTGATTTTTCTCGCTTCACGGACGTTGTAAAGGAGGGGTGGGGGTGAGTATTGCGTCATTGTGGGGAGTGGGGGATCGCTGTTTACGTTCGCGAGGAGAGTGGTGTCTGAACTTTTGTTATTTTGTGCTTATGCGTGTTACTACATGCCCCCATTCCGCCACCGCTGTTACGGCTCGATTTCGATGAGGAGGAACAGAGGGCCGGAGGGTGGGGGTGCTGCACAGACTCGGCTAAAATCCCCCAACCAATGATGTGCCCTGCGGTATGCATCCTGACTTCCTGAACTTATCTGAACTTGTAATTTAGTCTCAACTCACATCATCTTTTCTTTTTTATTGGATCTTGTAAAATATCACATACCTTTCGCCATTGTACTAGCTCATACGTGGGTATGGAGAAACGTTTGAAAAAAGGGAGCAATGGAGCTCAATTGAAATAAAAAATCAAAGGCAGTCTGAGATTTCAGTTAGCAAACATTTTTCCTCACAGGTACGATTCACGCACGAATCATCCTGACTCGGACTTCCCACCCACATTATCTAGCTGCTTTATCAAGTTTCGTAGCCAATACTTATCATTTATCCCTCCCAATTCCAGTTTCCTTCGCAATACGCCCACCGAACGGCCTCCGACGGGTGAAAATAGCGCGCGTTAATACGCACTGATGACGTGTCGCTTGCAGTTTGGGGCAGTGTCCGGCTTGACTTTGTACCTCGGGTTATTTCTCTGATAACTATTTAAGTTTATTAAATGTGTCGTTCTTCTTCATTTATAGACTTTCCCTCGTGTGTGAATCAGATGACGATTGGAACTGAAGTTGTTCTTCGTAATTGTTTGTGAACATTCCCGTCAAAATAATTATTCCACAACATTGCAATCAATTCTTCCCTGTTAATCAAAGATTTATAGGGGAGAGAAAGCATTTTGTTTCTAGCTCTCATTCAACATTCTAGGAAGTTTTATTACTTATGTTCAACCCCATTGCCAAAACCATACAACCGTCAGCCTGTTAATGTTTTTTTTTTTGTCATGCCCTCTTTCTATCTTTGTTACTCGATAACTCCCTAAATATTGCTAGGAGACCTATCTCGATCAGCGTTTTACTAACGGACCACGCTATCGAATTTTAACAAAAGAATGTGAACACCTGAATTTTTTTTCCATTTTTTCAAATAGACTTTAAGAATATTTGATATTTGATTTAACATTCAGAAACTATTTTTCTTCCTATTTTTTCCAAACAGACATAGAGGATTTTGTATTTGTATTGAACATTCAGAACTATGTTTCCATCTTGCTATGGCGACCATCTACGCTAGGCCGCGTTTATAGCTTGCGACCGTGAAGAAATGCGGAAACTGCAGAAGTGCGGAAAGTGCGGAATCTGCAGAAATGACGAAAAGCAGCAGATACGTATCGATCTGAAGAAATGCAGAAATGCCGAAAGTGAAGAAGTGCGGAATCTGCAGAAATGCAGAAAGTGCGGAAAATCGATAAGTATCGGTTGCTTTTCGTCATTTCTGCAGATTCCGCACTTCTGCAGTTTCCGCATTTCTGCATTTCTTCAAATCGACATGTATCCAATGTTTTTCGTTATTTCCGCACTTCTTCATTTCTGTATTTCTGCATTTCTGCAAATCGATATGTATACAATGTTTTTCGTCATTTCCGCAGATTCCGCATTTCTTCATTACTGTAGTTCTGCATTTCTTCATGGTCGCAAGCTATGAACGCGGCCTCATACGTGAGACGGCCTTGTTGGTCTACTTTTCGAGCGGATTGTCCCTTCAAACCCGATCATGCGCTCTGTCATTCCCATAGGCCACAAAGGAAACCTTTCACAAAGGAACCAACCTTGCGCGGTTTCACCAGCGCTGAAGTCCCACTTAGAAGAAGAAGAGATAAGAGTGCGTTCGTTTTGCATCAACGTGTTGAGCGTTCGAGGGTATGGCAGCGTTTGAGCGACTAGGAAAGTATAGATATCGATCTAGCATTTTGAGCGTTTTGCGGGCAGATTTGGACTTTTTGCGGGCAGACTGAAAACGCTGGAGTACACTGAAAAGGCTAGGATCGATATACATGCTTTTTTAGTCGCCCAGAACGCTGCCGTACGGAAGCGTTCAAAACGCTTACGCAAACTATGAACGCAGCACGAGTGAACCACCAGTGGCGCTCTTTTCAGTGGCATTCATCTTCTCCACGTTTATGCATGGCAGTTTTCTCTTAGTTTTAATTGATCGTTTCTGCTGAAATTATTGTAGCCGGTTCTGGGGAAACAGAATAGGCACAAGAACCAGTTACACCTTTCAATTTGGTGTCCATATTCTGTAAACTCAGATAATCGCTGGCACTGATGCACCCATTTCTCTCACTGTTTTACTTTTTTTTCTATAAGGCTGCGTTCATACCTTAAGATTACGTCGCTGTGGGACCTTTTTGGTGACTGCGCTCTGAAGATTAGATACGTACCAATTCACCATCGTCTCGTATACGCAGCGCATCGTGGAAAACGTACTCAAAAAACGAGTACTTCGACGTAAACGGTATAGAAGCAGTAACGCGTTCATGGCTCGCTATATTGACGAAATGCAGAACTGCCAAATTGCGTAAAATCGATACGTATCTCATGCTTTTAGTCAATGCTGCATTTCATTGCAGAAATGAAGAAATGCAGTTGTGTAGAATTGACGAAAAGGATTATATGGTATAGAATTTCCGCAATTCGTCAATTCCGAGTTTCTGCATTCCTTCTTTTGCACTTCTTCAAATCGATAGTATCTGAAGCTTTTCGTCAATTCTGCGTTTCTCCATAACGTCATCATCGCAAGTTATGAACGCGCACTAACGGAGTTCTTCTTGAAGCTGGTTCAACTCAGGTCCGTAGTCCAAACTGCAATTTGAAGTTATGTTTGAGGCCACGCAAAACGTCGAATGGTGCCTCATTCTCGGACGCTGACGTGCATGGGTAAAGAGCTTCGGAGTATTTCGTGCATCGGAATTGATCGACCTACAGCGGGGCCCTTCCACCTTGGCTCATACCTAATAGTGAAACTGCCCAACATGAGAAGTGCTCCTGCCCCTCACCCCTCCTCACTCCCCCTGACAAGAAAAGATGTGGCGTTCTGGGAGAACGCGCGTTAAAGGAGTGGATGGGTATCAGTTAGCGCCAGCTATCAGCGTTTTGGAAGAATAGGAGATTCGAAGAACTGGAGACTCGGAGATCTTAAGAACAGCAGTCCGTGGTCCCCATCCTTTTTTGCCCGCTCCCCCCCCCCTCCCCCCAGAAGTAAATTCCGCGATCCTCCCAGGATGCCACATCGATATCTGTACTTTCTTTGTCGCGTATTTTCCTCTCCAACCCACCTGTCCTCCTGTTCTCCCGTGAGAAAGTACAACGCTCCCTGACATATTCAACTGCGGATTCGTATAGGACTAGCTTCCTTCTTGAGACTACGTAGTAAAGGAGACGTTTTACCGTTTCTCGTTTTCTTCGTTATCTTTTATGATGGCTGCTCAACTCTAGTACTTCCGACCAAGGATACTTTTCGAAAACATTTTTAATTCTAAAACGGGTGTTTTCTCGCTGTTTGGTCGGTTCTTTCTTGATCTGCTGTTTTTGTCGTCAAATCGTCGTTACATTGGAATATTTATTGTAGCCTGATTGATAGATTTCAGTTGTCCTTGCATAGCACTTGTAAATCTGTCTTTCGTATTTTCAGGGATGATCTGGGTATGGGGAGTATTCGCCGTCGTTGGATTGACGATGAGTCAGAATCCCGTCTTCAGGAGGTTCGAATACAAAATTCCCTTCCGTGCACCGAAATCTTGCTCAACGCGACGGCTCCATACCTTTCTGGATGGTGAGCTACATTGTATCCCAATTTTCTCTTTCATTGGTCTGGTTTGATTCGCTTAGCCATGCAATTTTTTTTCCTTGTATTACATAGCGATTCTTTTCACTTATTGTCAGTGGAGGCACTGTAGCACAATATTTTGTTGTATGAAGTAACGTAAAAATTGGAGACATTCAGTGAATTGAGGAGTACAAAATTTAGCGTGAAACCAGTTGAGGAGAGCGGGAGGTGCGTTTCGCAGATACCCTAAACATACTAAGTAAAATTGAAATGTCCCTTAAACACCTATAGATCTTCCAAACAGGTCCCTTTAATTCTGTATGCCAACCTCACATGGGAACATTTCTTGTTCCGCTTGAATTCTCTTTGATTGGCTAGAAATGAATCGAAGAGTTCTTCAGTAGGTGGTGTATTAGGCCAGGACATAGAAAACTCCTACAACAACAGTAATTTCTTTTCTTGTGTGGCCGTAATAGCTGGAAATGAGCGACGGAACCTACGAGGAGTTTGAGATGAACAATGCCATCGGGAATCATTCGTCACGAAGTATGGAAACCATTTTCGAACAAAGGAATTAATTTTAACTACAGAACTCCTTTCTCTTAGGCCTGAACAAACGCCGGAACCCTACTGGACGTCATCTCGAACCTCAGAGCGCGTTCTGACTTCGCGATCGTGCAATCGGATCGCTCGACTAGGATCGCGCGATCGGATCGCGCTGTTGGGATGGGTGAAATCCACAGCGGGGGGGGGTTCACGTTTGCTCATGTTCACGTTGTTTTGTTTTTGTTTGTTTTAGGTTTGTCATTTCGTGAAGAAGTCGTCGTCCAAAGAGCTTCTCTATTGTTTGAAATGGTCTTCTTTAGAACTGGCACAAACCTAAAACAAAAAATACAAACAATGTAAACATAAACATGAACTCAACCCCCCACTGTGGATTGAACAAACATGAACTCAACCCCCCCCCCCCCCCCACTCCCCCGCCCGCTGTGGGATTCACCCATCCCAATACCGCGGTCGGATCGCGCGATCCGATCGCACGATCGTGAAGTCTGAACGCGCTCTCAAAGCGCCCTCTTTCGTCCACTTCTTATCAAATGCTAAAAGGCCCTGATGCGTCCCCTACAGAAGTTTGAAGAGGGCGTGGAATGAAGAAGACATAAGGGTTTATACAGGTTTTTGATGGATTCTCTATACTTTGCTCATTGCCCAAATGTCGACGGTGTTTACTAATTGTTCACCTCCCCCCTCCTTTTATTGCTTCCCTCCGCATTTAGTTAGTATACCTAACGGTTTATGTTTACTTTTGTTTCGGTATGATTTGCCTTCGAGTGGTTTGATTTGCCTTTGAGTGGTATGCTCTTAATATTCGTGTTCTTTTTTGCTATCGATGTAGCGCGTAAGTGCTAGTAAACAAACAAGTAAACAAAAATAGACTTGCGCGGAAACTTTTATTGATTCATCCAGAAATATGTTATGGCAATCATGCAAACGTTTATCGATATGCTGATATTCTTTGATAACTGCTGTTTAACGCCGCAGTGCGCGATCCGAAAGCTATCACATGAGTGCTGACTTGTGGGCAAAGTCGGATCACGGACGGGATTCGAACCCGCATCTTCTGCTTACCGGGCTGTTGCGTTCCCTATTACGTTACCGTGGCCACTTTTGTCCTCTCAGCTCAAAGTGCTCGAAGGCAATGGCACAAATAGCCATTGAGCTGAGTGGTCAAAAGTGGCCCCGGTAGCGTAATAGGGAACGCAACTGCCCGGTAAGCAGAAGATGCGGGTTCGAATCCCGTCCGTGGTCCGACTTTTGCAACTAGGCACTCTTGTGTATATGTAACTGCTCAGCGTGAAGAGTGCCAATAATTTGTTGCAAAAAACAGTTTTTTGCAAAAAATTTTTGGCGCCTCTTTACGTGTTTCATGTTCAGATTACAATGAGGCTCCGGGACGAGCACCATATTAAGACTCTTGTGATAGTTTATTGATATGTTTGCTAGTCACAAAAGGGCAACATCAAACTACTGAAGTGCTCCCTCTTTTGCAATTATACTGGCCGCTCCCTTTTTTAACAGTGCTTTCATGAGGTTGAGTCTATAGAAAATTTTCAGGTGTCTGGTGATGCTATCGCCTCCAGTGACCAGTTACGTTTGGCACCTTCCATGCGCAGTCGCAAAGGTATTGCGTGGAACAAACGACCTATGACGGAAAGTGAGAATTTCCAGGTAAATTGGATATTGGCGGATTCTTAACATCATATTTTCGCTTTTCTAGGTTATGATTTTTTTTTTCGTGAACAGCTTTTTCTCCCCAGTTACTTGAAAATCTGACTAGTAGTCGTGCGTTTTCTTTAAAGTTTAGTCTATCGCTTCTGTTGATAATTATTGTACTTGTGCTTTAGATCGATATTAGCCTCAAGATCACTGGCCAAGGACGAATAGGAGCAGATGGAATGGCAATCTGGTGAGTTCTTCAACTTCCTAATGAGTAGGGGATTCCCTAATGATATATTCAGGTACACTGCTCAGATGGGTGCGCTTGGACCTGTGTTCGGTGCCAACGATTTTTGGACTGGAATGGGTGAGTGAGACTATTATTTGTGTCTTTCTTGATAATTGCTTCGAGTTACCACAATCACTGAAAGAACACTTTTTTGGAGCACAGGGTTGTAATGTTATCAGCTCCTCATCCTTTTTGCCGTCATGGTGTGTCCAGCGTTGTGAGGCTGCGTTCACACTTTATGTCAGCGTTTTGAGCGTTTCCGCGGGTATTTTGAGCTATCGGCAGGCAGTCGCTCAAATCGCTGCCGTACGTTAGATAATACCTATACTTTCCCATCGGCTTGAAATGCTCAATGCGCTGCCGTAAAATCGCGCTGACGCAAAGTGTGAACACAACCTTAGAGTCTACTCACCATGCCGTGTTAGAATGTTCCCAACAGAAAAAACCAGAACACTTGCGATGTCGCAAAACTTTCACATACATGCTGGAGAAGAGGAGAAGGAGAGTCAGCGGTCTGAAAGAATGCGCCGAAGGACTAGATGGAAATAGATCGATTCTTCTATTTTCCCGTTCTGTCTTCCTTCTACTCCCCCATTAGCTAGCGACCGTAGTCGCTCCATTCCCATAACTTCCATTTGGGCACATTATTTTCCTGTTTTCCCTATTTTCCTGTTCTTTCCATTCGTAAGACCAATACCTATACTTTCTTTTGATTATCTCTGGTTCCTCCTGTTCTTTAGTGTGGCAAGGATGAGCGTGGCCTATCCGGGAATTATTTATAAATATTACTTGTTTATTTTTTATTCAATCTTTTATACAAGTAGGTGCGTTAAGCTGTATCACACGTTTCCTGGGCGTTTCGGGTATTTTGACGAGAAGGAATGTACAGGTATCGGTCTAGACTTTTGGGAGAAAGGCCAGCGGTCGAGCGTTTCGAGCGTTCTGAGTGTAAGTTTGAGCGTTTTGAGAAAACGCTAACGTTCCTCCCAAAACGGTGGAAACGCTCAGACCGCTAGATGTGTACGTACATTTCTCTCTTCGCTCAAAACGCTGGGAGTGCTTAAAAAGCCGACGAAAAGGACGAACGCAGCCTCATAATGTCAAATAAAAGGGTTCCCAACTGCAACGACTAGGCAGAATAAGGAAAACAAAAGTTAGGCAATTCTAGTACACGCCAGGGGGACTCCCAGACATACTTTCACTTTTAGAATTGTGCGAATGTTTGTCTCTTTCGAAGGCACCATTGTTGTGTAGTTTTGCTTCCCTGGTCTTGTGTAATTAATTGCATTCATTATACAGTTGACACACCGTTGTCAATCAATACAATAGCTCAAATAAATGCGATTGTTATTTTTTGATTCATTTCTCCAGGTATATTCCTTGACTCGTTTGACAATGATGGTCAGAAAAATAATCCGATGATCGCACTCATGCTGAATGATGGAACCCGTTCATACGACCACCATACTGACGGAAGTCAACAGATTCTCAGCAGTACGTCTAACTTGTTTACTTATGTGCTGTTAGTTGATTGTTTTCCTCGTTGTTGTTTTAACAACGCGGAGCATTATGTGCCCATTTAGGTTGTCAAAGAGACTTCCGCAATAAACCGAAAAAAAAAAAAAAAAAAAAAAAAAAAAAAAAAAAAAAAAAAAAAAAAAAAAAAAAAAAAAAAAAAAAAAAAAAAAAAAAAAAAAAAAAAAAAAAAAAAAAAAAAAAAAAAAAAAAAAAAAAAAAAACCGCATCCAATTCGACTTCGTATTGAATACTCTGAAAAAACGTTCTGAGTGTATATGTCGACGACGGCATGCAACCAACTCCTAGATATGAGGCGTGCATGAAGGTACCGAGTTTCATATGCGTTCGTCGTTTTTGCTCTCCAGTCAAGATACTCAGATGTTTCTCACATATTCGTTTTGTACTTTTATGATAGAGTGGAGAGGGGTAAGGGGGGGGGGGGGGCACCTGAGGTCCTCCGTTGATACAGTGCTGTTGTCTGCGGATAATGGAGTGTCAAGGGAAAGAGGTCTGGCGCGGCGCCTGCCCCAACCCGTTTTTTCTTTTTTTTCCTTCCGTCAAGCGACAAGGCTATATCAGTTCGTTCGTATCAATCGTTTTGCACCAGTTGTTATCGCAACACTTCAACAACTAACAATATCCTCTCGCAACATACTGTGAGGACAGCCTAGTAGCGCGCCAAACCAGGCTACTTATAACACAAACACAGTAGCAAAGGAAGTGCAAGCTGTTAGCCTTACGTCATGGCAATTTGTGGTTCTCTATTCGATCTATTTCACTGATGCGGGCCCACTTTAAATAAAAGTAAAGTGGTAATATGATATAATAATAAATAATATTGTAATAATATAATAAAAATAAAAAAATAAAAGTAATAGTAAAAAAATAAAGTGTTGCTTGATGAAAAGAAAGATTTCTTTTTCTGGAAAGCAGTTCACCAGCCACCAGACTTATCTCCTCCGTTCATCATTCTATGGAGCAAAGTCTGCGATGGATTACCGCATGTTGATTTGAAGTATCTATCAAGCTGCCTTCTGCTCACCTTTCCAGAGCTCACCAGCACTTCACCTTCTTGTGCTTCCTTCACCTTTCCTCAGTTTCTGAAGGGACTGCCTCGGATATCCCTGTACATTGAGCTCTCTCCAGCGGCTCATTATGATATCATGGCCTTGAATAAAAAAAGCACTTACTAATCTTTCTGCACAGTTGTGGCTTACTAATTATTACACTATGACGATTTCCTGTTTTCTCTATCTTGTCAATATATTTCTGACTGCTCCGTGGCGTGATTCGCTAATCGTTGTGCGAAACTGTTTAATGGTGACCTTGATCGTGACCAATTAATTATATGCAGTGACCATGGGGCACAGTGTCTAAAGCGCTTCCCAGTCATACCGTGAACTCGGATTTCGAAATATGAAGATATTCGAGTTCCTCATTCCGATAAGCTTTTGAGTTTTTCGCATGGTTATCTCTCTCAGACAATGAAAAATCCCTCGGCATTGCTTTCCAGTGCAATGCACGAGCTTCCCAACACTTTCATGTTTGCTTAGGCTTCCCGCGAGCTTAACACAATGGCGACCAGGCAACCTTTTATGTGCCTGCCGCGTGGGATCGGGAAGTTTTTACTCCTATTTTCGAGGAAATACGCATAAATGCTGGTTCCGTCTACATTGAATCTATTGTAAGGGGACTAGAGCTCATTGCGGAAGCTGGAAAAGCGCGCTGGTCATGACGACGTGAAAGAAACCACGAATCTTTATGGAATGGTTCCACTACGTTCACGTGGAACGTACGACAAGTCCTGCGAATCGTCATATTTTTATGTCACTGTCAGAAATTTCACCGTCAGATTAGCTAGCTGCATGAGAAGCACGTTTTATATCTCTGGAAATTACCTCCAGACACAGCTCACTCCAAAGTAATGGCGTAATTGAGCCAATGTTTACAATACGGATAACTACCCATGCTGCATCCCAACATTGAGACGCAATGTCGCCAACCTCTTAAACAAGAGAACCGGAGATCAAGACAGTAGGGATGCGCACCGAGGGAAAGCACAGTTATCGATTTGACGACTTGGAGAATAGAAGGATCGCAGAAGACGCAAGTCGGAAGATTGCGGCATTTTGCGCTCTGCGGATGATGGGGCATGTCGGTGAGGCTGAGGCCGGCTTGGTGCTAGCTCGTTCTCCATCAGTTGTTGCAGTGGGTGAGCGACAACAATCGGTGGAAGAGACTATGCGAACGGCAACAGTCTTGTCGCTTGTCTTGCTTCAACACTTGTGGAGCAGTTTGCCGCCGCGAAACCACAGCCACCTCCCCCCCCCCCACTTGACATGCCCCCATCGTCCGCAGCGAATAAGGCGGCGGGGGGGAGATCGACTCTCACTGTTCTCTCGATTGTTTATGTGTCGTAGAGTCAAACCACGACGTGGAGGTTGAATTTTGAATCTTGTACCTTCAACTTTTCCAGTGGTGCTTCTCGGAACTACCGCCATGTGTCCATCGTTGGTAGTGCTCAGGGGGGGGGGAAGTGATGGTTGTTATTGAGTGTGGATGTATCTCACCTCCACAATATTAACACCACAATATTTGCGTCTGGTCCCTTGAAGCCGTGCGAAATTCACGGTCTACAATCAAAACTTCTTAAATACAACTCTCAAAAGTAAATTGCCACTGTTGACTCATGCCATCCAATATGACACCCATCACTAGTACGATGCAATTAAACGGGCCATATACTGTATGATGAGTACAGTCTTTTCCGACTACTTACTGTATTACTCGATAGCCTGTGACGAACACTGAGGGGGAATCTCTTTATTGTTTTCCATAACACATTTATATAGGTTTATTGTTCCTTGTATCTTCTGCTTCCTTACCATTCCGTCTTCAATTTTCCATTGTCTACTGCCAACTTCTTCGGCCTTCCGTTCACGGTTACCCCTACTATACTAGTTCCCCAACAGTATTGAGTCGTAATTTATGACTAAATTCCCAAAAGTGTAAAAATATTATGTGGAAGAGGTGAAAGATCACGAAAGACCATTACTTGACGAATAACTTGGGTATCTTTTGTGGGTACTTTGAGACTTGGGGTTAGTTTAACAGCCTTTCACTTCGAACTAGCTTCGGTTGTTCAGTGGATATCTGTTGGTTGGTGATGTGTGTGTGTGTGTTGATGTGTGTTGTGTGTGGTGAGAGAGAAGAAAAACGAGAGGAAACAAACCTATCCGGCAGAACAAGAAGAACAGTGGTAAACATGTGGCCTTGTTTGCTAAAGACACATGGTACGCTCAAACACATTAAGGGTGTATGAGACTAACAGCCCCCCAGCTGTCGATGTGTCGTGGTTTCCCCGCCCGAAACTGCACGGGGGTCCTAGTACGGGACCGTGGAAAGGCTTATTCCTTGCTACGCCGCCCGAAATGCAACTTGCGCGCGGCGAAATGCAACTTGCGCGCGGTGCATTTTGGGCGGTGTAGCAAGGAATAAGCCTTTCCCACGGTCCCGTACTAGGACCCCGTGCAGTTTCGGGCGGGGAAACCACGACACATCGACAGCTGGGGGGCTGTTAGTCTCATACACCCTTAATGTGTTTGAGCGTACCATGTGTCTTTAAGTACAACTCTGCCCCGCCCCCGAAGGTTGGGGTCGAAGGGCATCATCGGGGACGATGATAGTATCGGTCCCAGAACTTATGGACGGTTACAAAGAAGCCCTATCGGAGTCAAAACAAAGTGTTGAATCGCGTTTTCACCGGGTTTTGTGCTTTTCCAGTTTGTTGATATATTTTTTGAGTTGCTTTTTGAATTTTTTTTTCTGCGGAAAAACCAAGGAAAATGTTCAAAGTCGCTGTTTCTCATAATCTCTTCACGCCGATTTCAGAGCTGAAAACGTGTATTTACCACGTAATGGTCACTTTGGTATTTCTGCGGCGACTGGCGGACTCGCAGGTAATTCTGCCTAGTTCCTTATTTCGGGATAATATTGTTAAGACTTGCTGATTCAGATGATCACGATGTTCTCGATTTCTCTGTCGCTTCGCTTATTACGGACGGTCGGCCTTCAACTCCTGGTAGTCTTCCACAAGACGAGAAGGCAAAGTATGAAGAGGAGTTCGAAAAGCAGATGAAAGAGTTTGAAGCTGAGCGAGCCAAGTAAGTTGAAATGGATTTTGTGGGCAAAAAACCATCAAAACAAAGTTTTTCTTGATGCTCCTTTTTTCTCAATTCTCTGACGTGTAAAAACAAAGTTTCTAGGTTCAAAGAGCAACATCCAGATAAAGCTAAGGAAGACGATGATTACGACGAAGCAAGGTATTATGAGGACGCAACGGTTCGAGAACTGCGCCAGCTCTTCGAGAGTCAGGCGAAAATGTTCCAAGTATGTATGCATATATACGCTGTTGATATTCGTAGGCTCGCCGCCACTAAAGCACGTCCTTATCGTTGCGGAAAAGTTTTGCAAAATAGCGCTCCTCGCCTATCGGATTTCCTTCATAGTATAACCTCCTTCCCCATCTTACGTACCTAGCACCCTCTTGAACTCTTCCAACTTCCTGCCTTCTTTACCGTTTTTTTTAGAAAATTTCCCACTTTTCCTGAAAGTATTACCGCGGTCAAGCGTGAGGGGGGGGGTATGTAGCGCACGTGAAACGGAGAAACGGCAACATGTTGATATTCAGCATCAAATGTCGTTATGCGCTTTTCATTGAGGGTTGATCAATATTGAGTTCATTGTGCATTTTTCAACTGTGTTCATTCATTTTCGTTTGTTTGAAGGTATTGTTCTATTAGAATTTTCAACTTGAAATATGGAGACGGTTTGTTTTTAGGTGTTGCAACGAGTTGAAGAGAGAGTGCAGCTTTTGTCAGGCGGAGCTGTTCAACCGGCACAAGCAGGACAAGCTGGTGATTTATTTTTCTCCTTTTTCTTGATTCTGCACGGGTTTCGTTCAGCTATGTACGTTGAACCTTCGGGCTGGCTGGTAGTGTATCTCATTTTTTTAAGAATAAGTGAAGTTTTCCGAGGAAAGCTTCTCCTGCACAGGATTTCCAGTCAGTTTTCCACAAAATCTTGACAGTAGAGGGTAGGGGATGCGAAGCATCGCCAGTGTTCGCCAAAAGTTCCTATACATGGCTCCCATCATTATTGGTTTAGCTGATCAGGTCTTGCGGTCCTATAAACGAAATCTTCGATTCCGATCCGACATTAGATTTCTTTGACACTGTGAACAAAGAAGAAAACCTTTCTTAGAGTTTTGTCACGTGTCGATCTATTGAGCATCTTCTCGGTTCAGTTATCCCAGAAAAAAGACGGCTACTGCGATAAAAAAGCAATAGATTTTTTGAACTGGTCTCATCAATTTCTTGTTCAAAGAATTAAAAGAAGAGAACGAGCGCGGTTCCGCGACGGGGGGGGGCATTTTGCACTCTGCTGCTTCACTAGTTCCGGTTTACAAGTCTCACTCTGGTGAAACCTGTGAACTCTTGAAGCTGGAGCAAGCTCGTCAAGCCATCATGGTAAAATTTGTCAACTCGAGAAGAACCTGTCTACAGGGGTGGCCAAAAAAGTCACTTTGCTTCATTGACTTTCGAGGCGCTATAAGTTACACTTTATAAATCTGATCGGACATTTCTACCACCATATTAAAGAGCATATTAAATACTATTATGACACTCCGCCACAGCCTTCTGGAGGAGCGCCATCGAGAGATTCTGGCACGCAACCGCGATGTGGTCCCTGAGATCAGCGAGATGGTC